CAGCTGTCACTCAGTGAATGTTTGGAACGAGGATGGAGGCACAGAATTCAGCTGGAAAGGCAGAAGATTCCCAAGGAGCAGAGCACTGGGGATAAGCGTTGGGGATGTCAATGTTGCCGGGATGTTGCTTCCCAAATCCGGTCCCGAAGACGTCAGCAAATGACAGAGACAAGAAGTGGGACAACCCCAAGTCTAAAGAAAGAGCGAACTTTGCATCCCTTGTGGCTCTGTCAAGAGGTCTGGGGAGTGGTAGCAGATAATGCGTTATCCCCCTCAGCTTTCATTTGACTGACAGCCTGAAATACGCCAGTGTTCTCATTTAAGGCTCATCCTACCTCACTCATGACAAAGAAAATAAGGTGTCTTAGCGATGCTCTCTCCCTGTCTCATATTAATGGCTATCAAAGCCACAAATGAAAGAGACCCACCAAACTGTTCCTCTGATTGATGTTTTGTAGCCCCATTTACTGCTACAAAGTGATTTGCTACAAAAAAATACACATTTTGAGTTATTATATCACCCACAAATTTGGTGCTACAACTATATAATTTTCAGAAATGATGTAAAATCATTGCAGACAAATATACAAGGAAGCCCCAAAGACCTCTTTTTATCTTTTTCTGTAATGGATCTGAAATGAGAGCTCATGGAGATACTTGTACAATATGTGAAGGCAGAACTGCCACCATGGGAGCTTTATGTAAATATGATCTAGTTAGATCCTGTGTTTCTATATCTCCTCGCAAGGCAGAGCGGATAAATAAGCCGATCGGACCAATGCCCTGTGTTTATACTCCTGTTCACAAACACCACAACATAAAGATTCAAAGGGAACAGGAACGAGTAGACTTGTTTAAGCTAAGGTTGATTTCTCGCCCACTCTGCCCAGATCTCTGTAAAAAAACATTTACTTCTAACTTAGCACGAGCTTTTCGAGTGAAGCATGTGAAGAAACCTAAAGTCACATCAGACAGACTTATTTGCAGAAATTCTTATTCTGCTGAAAAGTTGTTTGGCCAAAAGGGAGAGCGTGGAGACGGATTTAAAATGCGTTCAAGTGACAGATTCATCTCATCCTCTTGTAAGAATATTGGGAGTTCCTCTTTTACATTGAAGTTACAGTTATTTATACCCACGCCAAATTTCATCAGAAGACATCACATGCTTAAAAAAAAGCGGGGGCAGGAGGGCAGGGGACTCAGGAGCTAAACCACGTCTGCATGCCGAAAGCTCTTGACTCGCCATGCCTTGTTGCATATAGAATAAAATCGAATATTTAAAACTGTATTGGTTTGTTTTCCCTTAAGGAAGACGTTACTGGGTGAGAGTGATTTGTTATGATCCGTGTTATAGTACGAACAGAATGATCAGCACGTTGGGGCAGGGTTTTTGTTTTGCTTTGTTTCTCCTTTAAAATAAAGAAACTAAAATCTGTAAAGCCTGTACAAAGGCAGCGCTTCTTTTTTAATATTATTTTTCTTGTTCCTTTTTGTTAAGTGGCAAGCTGCCTTTTCTAGCTTTAATGTTCGCGTGTGTGTTTTTGTTATGTGTTAAAACAGTGCGATGGGGGGAGAGGGGGGAGAGAACAGAAAAGGAACTTGGACAAAGCAGTAAAATAATCAGTGGGACAGAAATCCTCTGACCATAGCGCTATTGTGGCTGGCCGCCTGGGGGAGGGAGAAATGAGGGGGGGGGAGTTCAGCTAGCCCCCAGAGAGAAGCAAGCCCCTCTTGTTTGTCTGCTGTCACCGATTGTGACTTGGATATCGACAGAGTGGGAAAACAAAACAGTGGGCCAGCTGCAGATGGAGGCGGGGTCGAGGGATAGGTCAAGGTTAGAAAGAGACTGCTATTGATCTGGCTTTGAACGCGAGACAGGGAGAGCAAAGAGACTAAAGGGGGAGCTGTGAGACAAGACATTAACAGCTTTCAGTGCTAATGATCACAAGTGCCAGACAGGGGAGAAAAGAGGAGACTGAAAAATCACTTTGGAATTTCCCCCCCATTGGGATATATTTTAGAAGGAGGAGGAAGAGAAGGCAGGCTTTACAAAAATGGTTCAGATAAGCTATGTGTAAGGCAATGCCAGCTCTTACACTAGACCTGATCGTACTTCAAAGGGAGAAAGACCGCGTCCATCCCAGGCTGAACCATTAGAGGCAATAAGGGAACGCAGCATGGTCAATCATTTATGTGTCCTTATCTTTGATTTGAATGGCCACTGTAAGACAGTGGTGAATCAACAAATGATGCCCAGGAACTTCCTGATAAGGGTTGCTTCAGGTACGTGCAGGTTCCTGCAACGATCTGAAACCGTCCAAAGTAATGCGAGATGGACTTTGCACCCACCCCGCTCCCCTGGCTGCCAGCAACGCCATTCGCGCTGCACCTTTAAACCAGGAGTAGCCAGTGGGTTTGCAAATGCCTCCCCCAGAATCGCGAGACACATTTTGTATGAGAGTCACACACACAAAGCCTGTTTGCCACGCCAAGCAAAGTGCAAGGAAATGGGGGGTGGAGAGCATGGAGGGACCAAGAAAGAAAGAAAGAAAGACAGACAGACAGACAGAAACTCTTCTTGGAATGAATGAAAGCGAACCCTTATAGGAAATGGCTGTAGAAATATGACTCAAGTATCTAGAAACGCATGAAGTGCAGTATGTGTGTGTGTGTGTGTGTGAGAGAGAGAGAGAGAGAGAGAGAGAAAGAGAGAGAGTCGGTAGAAATTATTTTTAAACTTTTTTTTTCTTTTTCTTTTTTGTATTTTCTTTGGACTTTCAGCTGTATTCCTGGAAAGGCTACAACCGACCCCTGTGGCATCCATCATGTTGACACCAGGTGGGGCTGGTGCTTTTCAAGCTTTAGGTAAAACGGGGGTGGAGCTGCAGGAAGAATGGTTCAGCAAAAGATCCACTGAAAGGCACGGGAGGGGACATTGCTGCTCCCCCAGCCCAGGTTCCGCGGAAGGCGTTTTTCCTCCCTTCCTCCAGCTGCAGGCTACCTCGGATCTTTCTCCACCTCGGCCCTTGCTGTGCCCCCCTTTTCTCACCCGATTGTTTGCACAACTTTTTGACAGGGCTCCGTGTGTGTTGGGGTGTGTGTATTTAAAGCAGCCGCGGATCTCTGAATTCCCGCCCAGCTGCTGCGAGTTGTGTTACCACCACACTGTTCATTTTCTTTGTAGGACCCTGTTAAGCAAAACAAACAAACGCCAGGAAGAATCTAGGCAGCGTGCTAGGAGTTGAACTGGCTTTTCCATAGTTACTTACTATTAAGGGAGAACGATGGCTGAGCAGGGAGAAGAGGACATGGCAAGGTTGGCCCTGTGCCCGCCAATAAAACCCATCCCCAGGCCTGGTGGTGGGATTTCCTTGGCTTTCCCCATGTGAAATCCCCAAGTCAGAACCAGGATCTATGGAGAGAGTGGGGCTGACGAAGTAGAACTCATACATCTGAGAGGGTCTCGCTCTCTGTAGGGGGAGGCAGATTTCCCGACAGTTGCTGGAGGAGGCGAGTGTAGCTGGTTAGCCAAATTCTGCTCAAAGCAGATTAAGGGCACGGAGATGAATTTTGGTCCCCCAAGGCTCCCCTGCGACTTCACACACAGAAATACTAATTCAACGTAGAAAGCGAATGACACGAATGCGGAATGTCTTGCCCAGCGTGTTCAGGGTGAAGGCTGATGATTTTTATTGGATTTCACTGCAGCCCCCATATCTGGCTTCAAAGTCCTCCCCCCCCCACACACACTTCCCTCGCTCTGTCCAGACCTAGTGCTGAAAAGCACTTCGCAAAGAACAGTTTGCTTTTCGTGGGGGGGGGGGGGGGGGGAAGGGAAAGTACAGGGGGTGGGAAGAAGGAGA